ATGACACAGCAGGGTGGTCAGCAGGCAAGCCCTGAGTGGTCGACATCTTCTCTTCGGTCGTCATATTATCAAGACGTTCGATCGTCTCCTTGACCTCCTCTTTGCTCTGGATGAACTCATCCGGTAGCTCCTGCTCCTCGGGCGCCTTGATGCCGGCCTGAGCTTCATCGAGGGCGTCTGCTGGTGACATGTTCTTGGGCTTCTCCTCCTTCTTCACGACGCCGTCAGGCGCGATCTGCCTGAACATGTCCATCGGGTCGAACCAGGTGCGAACGGACTGTAGCTGCACCTTGTCGTTGACCGTCGCGACCGTGACACCTTGGATGTCGATTGAGCCTCCGTGTGCTTTGGCTGTGACCTTCTCGCCCTTGTTGTTGAAGCCAACGTAGTCGTTCTTCATTTGGCCCCAGTGGCGCCATCGGAAGCTGACTGTTGGTGGGCCGCTGTAGACTTCTAGTACCTCCCATGCGAAGGTAGGCATCATGCGCTTGAACGTCTTGTGTGACGAGGCAAAGTCGGAGTAGTCGGGCGAGTAGTACTCGTTCGGCGCAATGATAGCATTGTATGTGCCGACCTTGAGCATAGCCTCTGCTCCTTCAGCCTTGCCGCCATTGATGGCGAATGAGTAGTTTTCCCGATCGATCGTACGCCAGTCGTCGATGTTGGGCTTGAAGGAGGCTTCGACTTCCCAGTTCTTGACGAGATTCTGTACGAGCTCAGGAAGAGAACCGGCTTCGTGTGTCATTTGCTTTGCTGTGCATGATTAGTAAACTGTATTGTGTCTGACATGCAGGCTCATTGCCGCATCTGGTAACTTACTCTCAGCGAACACCTTTCTGGTTTTTGAGTAATCAGGCGCTCTGCCGTATCGCCACTTGGCATCATTGTCCCCCAGAACAGCATCAGGGTTTGTGAGGTAGTCAGGTAGTGCGGGTGCAGCTTCCTGCGCAGGTGGTTGCTGAACGTCTGCGCTCGCCATTGTGGACGGTGAATATGTGATGGAGTAACTTGGATGAAAAGAATGTACAGATTTGGGAAGACTAGTACTGAGGACGAGCGACTATGCCTGGTATCAACCTGATGTGGCAAAGTGTTATGAGTTTTGAAGTGGTACAAATATGCTGTCAAACCGAGGAAAGACACTCATGCTTTATATGTTGGGTGTAGTCAGTAAGCAGGGTAATACCCACACCAGTCGACGCCAGTCAACAATGGCTTGATGACCCTGCAGCTGTGATACACAGCCTCTATCCAGTAGTTTGCGGGCGGGAAGGGTAGAAACCTCCGCAAGGGGATGCTGAAGCGCCTGGGCGAACTTTCCCACCGTGAAGCAGACTGGAGAGGCAAAGTGATGTGGGGTGCCAGCCGTCAAACTGATAGCCGGGACGAGACGGGGCAAGAATTGCCTGGACCTAAGGGTCTAGTCCGTTAGACGAGTACGCCTAGATGCATACATGGTCAGGTTGTACCATGTCGGAATTCCCGTTATATTCATCAGAACTCAGGTTGCACAAGCTGTTAGCTTTGTGAGACTGTTACATAGCGGAGGCTCCATCTCGAGGCTCTGACTGCATTCCTGTACGCTGTATTTGCTTCTCTTTGAGGTCGCAATATCGCATTTGCCATCGCGCTGCTCCTCGCCGTTGCAGCGCTGTAGCGGCACGCTTAGCGCGATCACATAAGGGCCCAGGGTGAAACAGCGGAAGACGTGCCGAGCGGGAGATCGCTTGGGGCGCAACTCCGAGGAGGCAATATATAGCTCGCTTGTTTGAAGTTCTCCAGATCCACGTTCGAGACTCTGGTTCCGAGATGCAGAAATATTGCCAAGCAGGAAAGGCGGCCAAGGTGGAGAGGTTGAAGCAACCGTGTTGTCGTGAAGGAACATCAAATCTAGACTTGGGTAAATGCCATGAGTAAATTTCGCAGCGTTATTCGGGCTCCATCCACTAGCCATGTACAACCAGCAAAGTCCCTGACAGTTGAGTAGGCCGAACACGCGGAGATCCCGAGGTCAGGCTAGTAGTGCTCCGTACGGCTTGTTGCGTCTCAGGATGATTGCAAACTTTGGTACAGAGCCGATCTTCTTATTGTAGTGCCTCTTGCAAGGTTGCTGGTGACGGCTCCAAGACACCGATTAAGGTGTCGTTGAAGGTACCAGATACCGGGAATAACTACCTGTTACACGAGCACGAGGTACACCGAGTTTCTCTCGTGTCAGACAAGATGGTTGAGAGCGTATCGGCAGAAGCCGTCCTGGACGCCCTCGAATGCGGCGGATGAAATCAAACTGTGGCGCTTTTGTGGCGGTTATGCTGGGTGCTAAACGTTAGCTGCAGCACAGAGAAGCCCGCCAGCCGTCTCGTCAGATCTGGCCGATCCTCGATATTGCTCATCCACATGGGGGGAACTCCGATTCTTCGTGCGAGCTGCTCAACATTTGCGGCGATGGAAATTTGGCGCGCTGGTGAAGATGCGAGGCGCAGACAACACAGGCCTTGTCTCCAGGAGGCTCATCGTTAGCGCAATGACATCATCCTGACATTCACGGACCTTAGGACTGTAGCGTTTCACGCGTCCGCAACGCTGCCTTCTGTGTACTCTACCAACAACAACCGCGACAAAATTGAATCAACATGGGACGTCGAGACCGTCTCATCAGCGCGTCTATATTACGCGCCATCTTCAGATCTGATTCGCCTCGTAAGGATGAAAGCGCGCGATTGGGTCTATTTGCGCGCATCTATGCCTTCTTCGCTGTCTTCAGTCTGACTCTCGCTCGTTATCGCGCATCTCTGTTCAAGAAACTGAGGAATGACACATGGGAGATTGAAGAGGAAGGGTACATCGAGAGCTTCCGCCCAAGCACGAGCAAACGGACCGATCTGATCGCCATTGGGGACCTGGGCTACTCAGGCTCGGTACGCGCGGAACATCGCATCTGATGACGACAGGCTAATGCGCATCAGACATTCTTCACGACACCTGATTCTAAGTATCTGATCAAGTCCCTGCCGCGCAAGTTTGAGCAATCCTTCTTCCGTGATCGCCTCCTCGAGCCCTATGTCGAACATATGGAGCTGAATGAGGACTCCCTCCTCGTCCGCATAACCGACCTCCTCTACTGTCCTACAGCTACCGTCGGAGCCGCTGTAGGCACCGCGCCGAGCCATCATATAATAATGGAGAACATTCTGTACGGTAAGTCGAGCTGCAGCAAGGCCCAACAGAAGCGATGGGAGACATATGACCTCAAGCCCAATGACTACTTCTACCCAGAACGTGACGTGGCTAACGGGCGCCTGGCCCCCGAGAGCGTCAAGGAGCGCCTCATTGATGAATTCGAAGACAAGATCCGAGTGACTATCGATCAGAAAGAGGAGCTTGTTGCGCAGCTATCCAGGGATTCTAAGATCTTACAAGGCAATAATGCGGTTGACTACTCGCTATTCCTCGTCCGCTATCCCGCCGACCTGAACTCTGGTGATGTGCCGCCGCCCCCTGGTCGAGGATCTACATGGCGCACAGGTGTCGTATCGCGCGACGGCAAGTGGGTTTACCGGGCCATCGTACTCGACTTCTTCTGGGCGAAAGACGCACTCCAGGCCCAGACGATGACGGGACTTGTCAAACTCTTCAACACGTTAAAGTTTGGGAAAGATCATGGCCCGATGAGCATTACGACGACGAGCGATGAGTATAGACAAAGGTTCCTGGGAATGGTGGAGGACATGGTCGAGGTACCAGACAGCGCTGGCAGACCAGCAGGGGAAATACGCAGCCCTGCATCGGTAGCTGCTGATCAAGTGTAGTCGAGCGGCCCACGATGACTGAATGATCTTCATCTCATTCTCTTCGTTGTCGGTCTGGCGTTGGGTTACTCCGGAGTAGTAGGATGCATAAGATACCCGGTCCATGCGCATGCAGCTGGACGCTCAAATTCTAATCACATTCCTCGATGAAATCCATACGAGTGCGCGAAGAAAGCCATGGTTGTGTAACCCATGTCATGATGGCGGTGAAGCACAAATGTTCAAACGTGGCGTCATCGCACATAGCCCCAACCCTCCGAGTGGTCGATGTCACGAAGCCGACGAGGCTTGCCAACGCACAGGAATGTCACGATAGGCTGCACCCTGGTCATTCTTAGTAGATACCCTGCGTTGTAAGGAATTGCAACCCGGTTTTGGGCAAGGGGATTGGAATGTGTATTCCGAGGAGTCTTGGCCCACCTCCGGCTAGGAGGCCAGACCCTATGTAGGATTACACGCGGAGAGTAGGTGTAATGCCGGCCGTGCGTCCCTTGCATTGAACATGATCTCCGAAGGCCACAGTAGATGTTCTTCGTGCTGTTACTGCTGCGTCCATGTGAAGAGTGAAGAGCAGAAAAAAGGCGCATTGATGACATGCACATGTGCATGAATGACTGCAAGATCACCGTTGATCGAGGTGCTTTTTGCATCGTAGGATTCATCTACCAGAGAGGCTGAGGGAGCGACGATCCCTAGGTTGCGGCTCCAATGACAGCGGCGCACGAGCCAGGCGGATGACGTACGACGTCATTTTGGCAGTTTGTAGGAGGCGGCTGCCACGGCGTCGCACGTATGCGCCGAATCAGCTATATCATCGTCTTTAAGCGCAGCTACCCAATTGCCATATCTAATTGCTTCTTGCCGCCATCCGTCGAGGTCACTTGCCGCGGCGCATCCTATAGTCCTTTACCTCGCCTACACCCCCGCGCACTTTCTTCAAGACAAATTCTCTGCCATCCCACCTCACCCTCTCCAGGTACCATCTACATCGCTTATACACACCAGAACGCGCGCTGAGTAGTCTGGCCTATCGCTATCCGGCCTTGCTGCAGACTATCCTCCCAACCTTTGGAACTAGGCCCCCTCGTCGAATCGCTGGGACCGGTCGACTGCGCTCCAATCACAGCGCTGCTCGCAAGACAGTCCTACGTCACATCACGACATCCGGCTTTCGCGGCCCCCATCTGAAGCATGGCGGCCCTAGCCTTCAAGGCCATCAGCTACGGCGCAGAGCAGATTCCCGACAGCTTCTTCCACAAGTTACCCGGCGGCTACTTTGCACCCCCAGACTCGAAAGAGGGCAAGAAGAAAGGCAAGCACCTGAACCGCAACGAACGAGACGCAAGACAACGGCACCGGAGCGAAGACCGGTCCAGTAAGCGCAGCTCCCGGCAGGAGCGCAGCCCGCCGACCGAGTACTCTGACTACACCGACGACACCGACTACGAGCGCGAACGCGAGCGCCGAAAGAGGGAGCGACGACGCGCAAAGAGCACGGGAACCACTGCTAGTAGGAGTCTGAGTCGCGGACGTCACGGGAGACACAGCAGCGACCTGGACGGGCAGCACAGCGATTCACGAGACATGGCCTCACCTCAGCAGGGACAGCCTTACTTCCCTCCTCCGCCCACTTCCGAATACAAGCCCTATAATCCGCAGGAATATGCACCGAGCCCCGTGCAGGACCGCCGCCCTTCTGTCACTCCAGCCTACGGATACTCTCCTCAGGTAAATAATTTTTCCTCTTTTCGACGCGCCACACTTGCGACCATGCCCGAGCATCCGACACCGGCGAACTCTTGTCCGCCCATGTTGCGAAGCCGGACCACGTCAGCGACTTCCACCCCTTTTTCCTTTCAGCCTCATTTACTTCGCACGCTTTCTCGTGGTTCTCCCGTTTCTGCTGCTTTCACTCCGTCATACGAGCCGCCTCTCGCGGCCTTGCTCCAGCGCCCACTCACTAACACTCCGAAGCCACCACCTACAGAGCCGCGCAATGTCTCGTTAGATTATGGCCAGTACGATGCGCCCCGAAGCTCTAGATACGCTCCCGGCCCCGGCTACGCTCCTTCGCCTGCCGTAGATGCGCCTATCCCTCCTCCGCCAGTGGGATCAAACTCCCCTATGAACCCTTACCACCACACCGAGTTCCCTGCGAGCGGCGCTGGCTACCAGCCATCTCCCCCGCCCTTCAACCGTCAGCGCTCCAACTCTCAGCCTACTTTCGCGCCTGTGCCCAGCGCAGTCTACCCGACCTACGTGCCCCCATCTGCTGAACAGTCGATGGCCGCATACACCGACACTCGCTCCTCCCGCCGTGAGAGTACCAAGCCTCGTCGCGAACATCGCCACAGGGCTAGGTCCGTTGACTCTCAGTCTCATCAGTCCCGCTCTAGCAAAGATTCCCGTCGCGATGATTCACGCATGACTAAAATGCGTGATAGATTTGACGGCATGGATCTTCGCGAAAAGAGTTTGGCGGCTTCGGTGGGAGGTGCGTTGGCGGGAGGACTCGCGGGCAGGTCCTTGGGTAAAAGTAGGCTGACCACACTGGCAGGAGCAGCTGCGGGTGCGTTGGGTGCCAGGCAGATGGCGACACGCTCGAGGTGAGTATTGCGCACACACTTGACTGGTCTTCGTTCTAATTCCATCACAGAAGCGGAAGCGACCGCCACTCCAAGTCCCGCTCTCGCTCCCGATCACGGACGCGTGCGCATGACCGCGAACGCAGCAAAGGCCCCAGCCTCCGTGCTAGAAGCCGCAGCGTGATAGACCGCCTCCGTTCCAAGTCGCGTGGACACGACGATCGCGACGCGCGAAAGGATGACAGGCGCGATCGCGATCGCCGTCCAGATCACGGATACGACTATGGTCGCGATGATTACGACTACTTCAGCAGCGATTCTGAGGGTGATGGCAGCCCTGTGAAAACGAGGCGCCATCGCAGGAGGGACTATTAGAGTCTAAACAAGGACCGTGGGTAAGCGTAGACATCCCTACGAGTGTATTATTATATTTCCTCTGCTTTTCGAGCTTCTTGCGTTCCATCTGTGTTTGGTTTTGACTGCGATTTTGAATCATGTATGGATACGAGACGACACTTACGATTTACGACACTGATGAAGGATACGACAAAGACCAGGGATGTGGTCAGGGACGATGAGCTTTCGTTTGTTTACATCGCGAGTCATACGCGTCAGCCTTGGTAGCTTGTTTGTTTACATCAACCAGTCGTTATTTCGATGGACAGATGTAGAGATGTGAATGTGATGCTTTGAAATGTTGCCTGTACCCCCTAATGCGAACCACCGATCTAAATTTTATAAACCAAAAACGCCCTCAAATGCTCAATGTGCTGTCAAATCATGGTATCATGCCAAAATACTTGTCCCAAACGATCCAACCCATTCACCTATCCTTCGTAAACACACCCATCCATCAGCACGGAAACGGAATCAAATTCACGACTCCCGCCTCGGCAACCTCACTCCCCACACCCACCTCCTGCAACGCAGCTTTGAACCTAATCTCCGTCCTAGCCGCCAGTACCTGTCCCGCCAATTCGACCAAGCTCTGTCCGCACAGCCTCTCCCTTCCCACAACGAAATCAAAGTAGCTCTCCGGAAAATCAAAGTGCAAAGTAATGTCCCTGACGAGCAGATCCTTCATCGCCTTCTTAAATAGCGTGTTACTATCCGCCATGTAGAACCCCGTAAGCAGTTTCTGAACTTGCAATCTCTCGGTATCGGCCTTGAACTTGTCGCTGAGAGCATGAGCATCCTGGCCTGTAGTATTTCCTACGTAGCGGCGCGTGTCTGCGCAGATTTTCAAGCTGAGCAGACTTGGCGAGACGGTGCTGAGGAGGTAGGATAAGCTGGTGGTGTAGCGGTCTGCGCCAGTGCAAACGGGTTTCCAGATTCCATCGCGTGAGTCTAGGGATGTGGTCATGGAGGTGGGGTAGTAGAGGAGGTCGACTTCGAGATGGCGGACTAGGGGGAGGTCGGTGAGTTGGAGAGGGGGTTCAAAGGCGCCGGATCCTTCTTCTTCTTGTTGTTGGTCGTCGATGGCATCTTTGCTGGAGGGAGTTGGTGGTATGGATGTGATGTAGAAGGTGTTTTTGCCGAAGAATACGGAGCGGGCTTCGTGGTGTATTTGTTTGTTTGTTCGGAGGATGGCTGTGTGGAGGTCGTATTTTGTGTCTTGACGGGCGACGGAGCCTTTGATGGATGATGGGGCGACGAGAAGGTGTGTGTAGATGTGTAGACGGAGCTCTGGAGGAAGGATATCCAGGAACGGTGAGCGTGTTGTTTTCGCCATGATGGTTGACGTCTTCAAGGAATTGACTTTATCCGTCAACTTATAGTACCTCGACTCGACTGATTAGTTGGCGACAGGAAAGATATGGGCCGATATGTCGTATCGAGAAATGAGGCTCAGATCCTTAGCAAGGCCAGCCCTATGGATCAAGAGAGAGTCGGAATAGTAGAGTGAGCAGCTTTCCACAACATCAACATCAGCCACAGCAGCGCACACCCCCGGTCTTTATTCTCGAAGACGGCATCAAGTGACCCATTCCGTAATCGTCATCCTGTTGCAAGCCCATGAATTCATTACACTTGACTCGCTCCACCTAGCTATCTAGGAAGCCGTGTAGCCAGGAACCCCTTCACTGGCAACGGCCTTAGGAGACCCTTAGCAAGAAAAACGTCCATGCGCTCACGATGCAGACTTCCAAATACTCCTAGCTCTGCCGTCCAAAGACGCGATTGACGTGCAGATCATCGATGTTCGCAAGGATCATGTGGAAGGACTGAGGCGTTCGGCTGCAGACATCCTTGCGCCCAATGTACCGGTGTAGAAGGTGATGAAACTATGGTAGGTGCTCAAGGCGGTTCGGCAAGGCTCCGGAGGGCATGTCGAGCGGCTGGCTAGCAGGCACGAAGCAGACGCCCCGATATGTCAGGGAGAAAGTCCGGTAGCGCGGCCATGGTGTGTTTCTAGAAACATTGAAAAGAAGGTTTATTCGATTGAGAACAGACGTCCAAGAAGCGTAGTCTCGCATGTCGGATGCGCTAGGTTCCAAGTCTTGTTCTAGAGTGTTTCCACGGGCGAGCGCGGAAGAGTTAGTCCGCGCCTGTCTGATACAAGTCTCAAGAAGAGCGTTGGTGATGCCCCAAACGGCCCACACGGCGAATATGCGGCATCGTGTGCAAGTGGAGAGTTGATGTCAAAGTTGATCCCTTGCTTTTTTTCCCGCTTGATTGCCGAATCGGCATGTTCCTTTGTCCTGGGTAACCAAGCCGGGCTATCTTAACTGCAGTCGGGCAGACTTGCACTCGTTTCCTGCTATTCCGAACAACTCAGTACCTGTCGGCCGAAGACTCCGGCACACACCCCGTAAAACAGCGCCGTTTTGCTGTCCTTTGTTCGACGCACGCCCGAGGTCCACCCTCGTTGACCTTCCAAACAGCCTCAAGACCTGAAGCACAGCCCGCTGTATCGACTAACTAGCGAAATTCCGCTGTAGTAGATACTCTAGCTGCAGCACTAGATATTCACATGCGATTCGACGGCGCGGCGTGCATCTACCATGCCGCGCAAGGCTCAAACGCTCGGCATCACAACAAAGCCACAGCAGGTAAGATACAAGAAACAGAAGCGGGAACGCACATGGCACGCTAGCAAGATCAGCACTAGAGGGTCGGGAAGAACAGTTCCACGCGAATGATAAACGAGGGAGACGCTCAAGTCGGCTCCACACTCGTCTCTAGTTCCATTGAACCGGAAAGGGCGTTGTGCCTCACTCATGCAATGTCATGCACCGACGAGCCATCGCCTGACCTGACTTTGGGCCTGAATGTGGTCTCCTCTTTACCGCTACTCATCGCACACCTGGCGCGCTTGTCGAACAAAGACGATCCCAAGCTACGAGCCGTGTCGAAACAAACCATCCAGTATACGAGCGAACCATGGAAACAAATCTGACATGCGGCAAGCCACCGAAGAGACTTCCCCGTGTCATGGCATTGGCATTGGCATGGGCGTATCGTTGGGTCTCTCCGAACGACAATCGGACCCTGAACGTCCATCATCCCACCTATCTTGCATGCGCATCGTCGATATACCCCTCCGTCCGGCTTCTGTCTCCGCTCCGCTCCCATCGCACCCCCCGACCCTCCCTCATATGACGACGTACCAAGACCGCCCGGGCAGCAACGTCGAGGCTTCCTGCCAGCAAACCGCACCAAAAGCCCAATGAGAAGGGCAACAAAAAAAGACGCTTTGAACCAAGCAATAGATAGCGGTGTGTAACCGGATCCAACTCCGCAGGCACCTCCTCAATCAACCTGCATAGCCCACATCATCTCTCGTGACGAGGCGGGGAGGGGCGCTTACCATCACAAACGGTCCGATCGCAGGTCCCGCTCTCCAAGCAGAAAGGAAAAGCGAGAAAAACCGCCTTTGGATGCATTTGTCGTGCATGTAACTTCGCAATCTAAATCCATCAACTTGGCCGAGAGGGTCGACAGGAGCAAGCAATCTATCTTGGATTTTTTCCTGCCCTCTCGCGCTACATCCGGAAGGCGTACCGAAACGACGTGATTCGCTGCCCTCTTTTTAATTTCTCCTCTTTGTTTTCTTTTTTTCGCTTCCCTTATCACGAGAAGAAGCGAGGCTAGCACATGTCCATCACCATCACAACATGAGCATGGGCGGTCGTCAGAAATGCCAATGTAGGTAAGCACGTGTACTTTGGCGGACGCAGGGTAAACGCATCTACCACGTCCATGTAAGATTTTGGAAGGAAGGTGAAATTCTCAACATGGGTCATGCTGGTTGTGTCGTGTTTCTGCAAGTTGCCGGTGAGACCATTGGTGCGGGAGAGGGAGGACAGAGCGTCGGTGTTGCAAAGTTTGGCACCCTGGACGCAATGAGGTCAGAATCGTAAGATGTTTACCATAAGACGGGCGGACGTCGGTGCTTGGGGGATGGGCGTACGGCGTATACTCATTACGCGGTTTCGTTACTGTAGCCCAGGTTCGCAAGATGATCCTGTAGATGGGGGTGACAGCACGTCAAACCTGGATTTGCTCGGGCTTGGGTCGCAATTAAGCTTTTGGGTAAGCGGCGTGCACCTGGAATTGGCCGGTCCGGATGTTGTTCCTGGGCTCTGGGAGTCGGTATCGCACACGGTATGACGGCCTTGTGCTTCATACATGCAGTCTGGGGAGCGCTTGGCTTGGGGGTCGGGACAATAGCGTATGTCTCTCAAACTACCTCTTTCGGTAGCCTTGTGCTCTACTCTTGTCTATCTTGTGGTCAGGCCCGATTAGTATCCCGCAGAATATTCCGATTATGTCCACCAGTAGGAGGCTGTGCGCATAAAGGCCTCACCTGGGCAGTTTGGAGTGTACGGAGTGTTCTCCTAGACATTCTACGGATACATGGTGTGCTATGACGCGATGGAGCTAGTGAGGCGCGTTATCAAGATCGAGCATTGTCGCGCCCTCTCGAGATCGATGGATAGCAAGGAGAGCAGCCAACATCGCGTGTAACACATGTTGTCACGCATACACTTAGGTCAAGAAGTGGAAACATCCTGTGTATTCTATATACAAGTTGACTGTGACTAGGAGCTAGGAAAACGTAGTATGCACGTACTTCGCTGTACAAGTTCCTCACAGACTATCCTTGCAACCTAGATGTGAAACGAACTGTATTCACACAGATGGCGTGTAGCTTGTCACGATAACCGACTGCTTCAATGCACATGACTCGATGTTTCAGCGATTGCTTCTGCCCAAGTAGATTGAGGCGGTGCAGCTTCCGAAGATACATGAGATCAATTCGCGCAGTAGCGATTCCCTCCTCTTCAGATAGAAACTCAGAAGCTCATTCGCTGTCGCTGGGAATATAGATGACTTCGTCATCGTCGCCTGGAATACTAGGCTCGCGACGTCGTCTGGTAGACTTGCTGGCGGAAGCGGTGCTCCTATTCGCGAAATTACTGATGCCATCCAGCACCCCATCGAGGAGATTCAAAGACGGAAAGCCGCTTGCATTCCTGTGTCGTGATCGCATCGACTCTGCCCTATGGCGCGTGGAAGGCGATGCAGTTCGCGACTCAGTAGCTCTCGCCATCCTGGAGCTGGCAGTCCGAGAAGGTCTGTGGGGGGTTGCGCTTCCGGTGAAGCTGTCGAGCCGTCGCTGTTGAGGAGCGCTCTCACCGCTCTGTTCCAGAATTAGATCCAGATCCAGATCAGAGAGGTCATCTTCTGCTCCGATAAGACCCTTTTCAAAGGCTTCCAGAGTTTTCGAAATGGTCTGGTAAATTGCCTGGGCCATGATTGGCGGGAAGGCATTGCCTATCTGCTTCGTGGCCTCACCCTTGGGACCAGTAAACTCATACACGTATGGGAAGCTTTGGAACAGAGAGAGTTCGCGAGGTGTGAAGTGGCGTGTGCCTGAGGGGTGGCAAGCTGTCGTACCGCCGGTTGTTATACAGCCTCGGAGGAAAGTCCGCGCATCATAGGCTGGTCTGGGAACAGGAAATAGTTTGGGCTGATGGTAGAAGTCGTTCATGGCTCGATTGCCCTGGCGGGTGATGTGCTTGAGGGCCTGATCGATGTACACAAAAGGGTTCAACCCACTTCCTGGGGCGCCATGTGTAGGCTTTGGGAAGGGAGGGAGAGGCGTACCCCGTCTGAAACATGTCAGTATTTGTATCATGGGCATGTGGAACTCGAATGGCTTACCTTGCAGCAATGATCAGTAAACGCTTGCGCTTCTGTACAAGGCCGTATTGACTCAGGTCCTGGATCTTGTAGCGGACATCGTAGCCAGCTTTGCCAATATCGTACAAGAGCATACGGAAGTTCCTCTTGTGCTGCTCGTGAGTGGCGAGGCCAAAGGTCTGCTCCAGGGTTGCGACACGTGGTTTGACCTTCTTAAGGATCGGACCAACCGTGTAGATGGCTTCGTAATTCTCCTGATCCTTGGGTCCGTCGGTAGTACTACTAATAATTAGTAGATGATCCTATTGTGAAAATGTTCCCTTACTGTGCGGGGCTCCAGTAACAACAAGGAGGCGAGAGGTGGAGTACATCGACTTTCCAGCTCTCCTTGCTAATACCGTTTGGCGGAAAGTCATGCGCATTCATCTTCCATGCGTACGCACCAGGATGATTTAGGCGGTATGCAGCAAGCGCGCGTTCGTCATTGTCGAGACCCCATTGCACATAGTAGCCAGCTTGGGCAGCGCCTTGACTAGCACCCCCAGCTCCACAGAACACGTCTCCGAACACTAGACGGCCCTGCTTCGATGGATGCTGAGTCTTTCGCTTTGGTGGCTCTTGTTCCAAGATCTCGAAGTCAGGAGAGTCGTCGCGTGCACGTCGCTTCTTTGCAGAAGGCGCCTGGTTCACGACAACGTATCCGTCCTCTTCAGTCTCCTCTACCGAGATCGAAGTCTGGCGAGAAACACCGGGATCTGAAGTTTGAGCTGGTGTCGCAGTCGCATCCGCCTCGTGGGTATATAGATGACGAACGACGCCTCCATATGGCTTTGTCTTTGTGCCACTTATGTAGAGAATGTTGACGACACGGCAAGTGAGCCTACCTCCATGGAAGATCTGTCGCTTGATTTCGTCCTTACTCATACTATTCGGCCATGCAGCACAACCGTCGGATCGGAAGCTGAGAAGCGGGTAGGGTTTGTTGGTCAGAGTACAGTCGCGTACTCGTAAGACATCTTCGATTTCGATGTCTTCCATTCCAGCGACGAAAGGTGATATAGGGTCATCTTCATCAAGACGTAGGACCATGCCCAACTCGTTCGTCTTCCCTTAAGAGCAGTCAGTACATGTCCTCAAGTCTGTCTTTCTGTCGTACTCACAGTCGAAGATCTGACCAAGGTACTTTGTACGCCTCATGCGCCAACCTCGGAGTCGCACTTCATCCGTCTCCAAGTTCATGAGTATGTTCTTGATGCGTAGAAAGTCTCCCGAATGCATAGCGCCCTCATCTTGGTTCGAGTGATCTTTCAATTCCACTGTGTCGCCCGGTTTAATGACGAAACCTGTGCCGACTTTGTATCTCTGGATTGCAACATCCGGTAGAGATATGTCGTTGCTTGGTGGATGTTTGCGCGTGCGGGTCTTTCCCTCGTTCGAGCTCGGAGTGGTTGGTGTAGCAGACGCCTCACGAGAACTAGTCGCGATGATGTCAAGATCGGACTCGGAGTCTAAAGGTGGATGTCAATTGATGAGCTTTGTCCAACTTGGAAGTAGCGGCTCACCATAGTCAAGCAACTCGATATCGCTCTCATTGTCGTTCCACTTCTCGTCATCTTCGTCGAGTACCATGTAGGGTCGTGTTGACGACATGTTGTCCGCTGCTGCTGCTGCTTGATGTTAGCGACACGACTATGAAAGTTAGAGTGGAAGGCGCGATGATCCACGCGACGTACCTGGCAGTTGCCTTTTTGCACGGAGTCGTGACTAGGCGATTGCTGCAATACGCGCGCTAGCAACGATGGCTGGAGATTTATCGCGACTTTCGAGTTGCGAAAGGCACCGAAAACGCAGGCACAGTGTTGCTGTCGCGATTATTTGAAGCTGCTTGCGTGGTAGTTAGCAGTCGAAACTGCGATAGACACTGTGCTGTTATTCTAACAAAGAGGCCAAAGCGCTAAGGCATCAACGGTGAAGGTGAGTCTGGTAGACGCCCGAAAGGGAAGGAAGGTGAGCTGCAGGCCAGCTTCTTGCAGATGGCGTAGGCAACCTACAGAGCTCACGCGTTCTGACGCGCGTTGAAGGCGAGTTGTGATGACGAAGATTACGAGCAAAGGTGATCCTGGTCCACTGGTAGCCGAAGTCATGGACAAACACACGCAAAATATGAGATCAATCTCTCAAAATGTGCAAGAAATAGAAGATAGTTGTGGTGACTGAAGGAACCGACAGTGGGAATAGATGAACCCCATAGTCATAACAATATTGCAGTGAGGGTACCCCGCGTAATTCCACATATGTAGTGCAGTAGCGGTGTGTTGAGCAAGAGGCAAGTAACAAGTAATGTAGGGATTTGGAGATAAGAAATGCCCTCGAGGATGCTATCCCACCTAACCCAACTATACAAAGGCGCCCGTACCGAACCTCACCGTCACAATCTCGCGTCGTGGCTCATCGGATGGTCTTTTGTACAAACTCCTTCTCTAGGCGTCCGACCTCCTGCTTGAAGGTCTCGACTTCTTTCCAGCAATCCAGCGGCCGGCGGTCGTGTGTCCGCAGACATGAGACGACAGCCTCCTTGGCCTTGGTGACATCGGCATCGGCCTGTTCCAACTTCTTCCTCTGTTCTAGCTTCGCCTTGAGCTGCTCGATCTCCTTGGTGACACTGTCCCTGCTCATGTCCTTTTGTCTTTGCTTCTCGGCGAGGGTGGAGCTGCTGGACGTCGCATCCTGGATCTTCTCGACTAGGGAGGGTTCATCGGACTGTGGGGTCTCGGTGGAGAGGGTTTCGCTGAACTTGGAGAAGTTCTGGGTTTCTTGCTCGCGCAGCTTCTCGAGCTCGGCGGTTAGGCGTTCCTGGTACTGGAGTTCCTGCTGTCTTGATCGCGCCGAGTCTGTCTGCACGTGTGTTAGCCCCAATTCGCCCATTTCAGCCGTTGGACGTACGAAAGTGTTCTTCTGCAGCGATCCGACGAGTTCATTGGAGAAGCTGTAGGGGTGATCTCTGCGCGCAAATTATCAGCACACGACGTCACTGGCTGATTCATCTCTTATGAGGGGCTGGAGCCATTGGATGTGGACTATGCGACGTACGAGGAGAAGACGTGCTGCTTGACCTCTGACGAGGGTTTCGAGTTCTCGGCGCCCATGGTTGCGGTGGTGGCTCCTGGGGATTTCTAGGGCGATGATGCTGTTCCTGCAAGAAGTCGGAGCTGACGGCTTGGCCGACGAAAGCACGCTAGGGAGCATCCCTGCAAACGATCCGAGGGCGCGTCAGGGAAACACCAGAAGTCTCCCCTCATGTTTGTGTTTGTGGGTTGCGCTTCCATTACTTGACAATTCACAACCCATCGCGAGAATACAACTTTAGCAACTCGCTGTTGTCCACGTGACCATCCATTGGCTATCATTACCCAAACCACGACCCACGACGACATCATCACAGCCAACCCAGCCCCTCCCTTCCCGCGATGCAATCCTCCTTGAACAGCTGGCTCAAGAAGCCAAGTCTCGATAAACAACCCGCGCCGCCCTCAAATGCTCCTCCAATGGCATCATCAAAGACGAACCGGCCACCGCCTCCCCCAAAGTCTGTCTCTGCGCCGACGCGCGTTCCCTCTAACCCGACCCCTACGCCTTCGAACATGGAAAACTGGAACGACATACCCGACGACTTCCTCCAAGCACCCTCAAGACCGCGATCAAAGAAGAGCCCTCGTCCCTCTCGAGCAGTCACGCCTGCTATCTCGCGCATACCTTCACCCATCTCCCTCTCTACCCAACAGCCAGCCATCCCGAAGCTCTTCGACCTACGCCCTCTACCGCCGAACGTTCAACTTGTACCCCTGACCGAAGACTTGCTACCGGCATTCAAGCGCCTGAATACCCTCACTCTCCCCATATCCTACCCAGAGACCTTCTACAAGGAAACAATGACCGAGCCACACCACGGCATTACCCTCGTAGCCGTATGGCACTCGTCGCCCGCGAATGCCACCTCAGCATCACCCACAGAGAAACCACATCTTGTTGGTGCCGTCCGATGTCGCATACTTCCTTCCTCGAACCTATACATCTCCACCATTGGCGTCCTAGCTCCCTACCGCTCCCACGGCATCGCTATGCATCTTCTACAGACGATAGTCAAGAAAGCCGTCGAGCTTCACAGTGTACGCTGTGTCACAGCACATGTGTGGGAGGCCAACGAGGAAGGCATGGAATGGTACAAGAAGCGGAACTTTGAGATACTCGAGAGAGAAGAGGGATACTACAGGAAGCTGAGGCCACAGGGCGCCTTCCTTGTGAGGAAGTGGATTAGCGTTGGAGACCTTCTCGGGAATGGTACTCAGCAAGAGAATGGAGCAGGCGGTGAATGATCAGGTACTACTCTCCGGTCACGGACAGTAACTACCGTTCATTTTACCCATGTGCCTCTTAACGCACTGTTGCCACCACCCGCCTAGAGCCTTCTTGAGCAGTGTCAACCCCAAATTCTGGCTCAGCATGCAATAAGCCCACTCTTCTGCATCTCAATTATCCACCCCCGGATTACGGTACAGTCCTGCGATCGTCTCAAGCGTCACGCGGGTTTCCCGTCAATTGTTCCGGCTACCAGTCTCACTGCTTGTATCGGACAATCTATCCTTTCACCATATGGAGGAGGGAAACGAATCACCATCGCTTTGGAGTGGGTGCGAGTCTGATGTTCTGACATGGGTCAACTGGGTATCAATTTGCGGCTAAAACACATCCCAGTCTATAAGCGTGGTCATGGATAAGAATAGCACCAAGAATAGTCGCGAAGCATCTCGGAACGCAGGCGAGCTTCGGCTTGCCGTTTAGGCAGGAAATGATGGTGAAGGCCCTGGAGCGGCGTATCGTGGGCAGCCCGTCCAGGAAGAACTCTGCAATACACAATAACAAGCATGGAAGCATCCAAAGATGGCGCCGTCTTCTACTCTTCCAAGGCTCCCAAATGCGTTTCCTGAGTGCTTTGTCGTATTTGGCTGACTGCACGAGATCTCGCCATGCTTGACATTGCCTGTACCGTCACAATGGCACACAAACTCGCTAGCCACAATATAGGCGAATGCAAGAGCAGATTGGGATGGCCTCGTATCTGAGCTTGGCCCTGGCCAGACTGCATGTCTACAATGGAGCCGCGGGTGTTCAGAACGGGAGCCACGAAGCTATCATTGAGCCTGTCATTGACTTCCTAGACTTGAACCGACTAGTAGCACAAGCTCGTGGGTATAAGAGGCTGTCGGTGTCGCATGAATCCAGACTCCTCACCTGGGGCAGCATCTTCGGTCAAGAATATATCATTACCTGACTATCAAATCACGATGCAGCTCACCACGCTTGCGCTTTTGACCAGCCTCTCGGCAGTATGCTTTGCGGTATGTAACTCGTTACTCGCAATAGTGTTTCATACTGACATAGTAACAGGCGCCAGCAAATAACCATGTCGACATTGTGCCTCGCCAGACGTACATCATAACCTGCATTGGGGGTCGTTGCACCGACAATATCAGCCGGCCTACATCGGGTGTGCCACAGCCAACGACAAGCAAAGTCACAACGACAACAACCAAGAAACCTGAGCCGACCACATCAACCAAGAAGCCAGAACCAACACCTACAACCACTTCAAAGAAGCCCGAACCACCCAAGTCAAGTACGAAGCCAGCACCAACGTCGACCACTACGACCAAGAAGCCTGAACCACCCACGACCAGCAAGAAGCCAGAGCCTACCCCGACAAAGGTCAGTCATCGTAGACTCTCATCGTGAATTCATACTTACCTACTTAGACTACCATCAAGACTACTACAAAGACTACCGAGAAGCCCACAAAGACCACTACTGAGGAGACTGGCCCAAGCAGCACGAGATGCCCTGTACCTGCTTACTACAAGTGCGGAGGCTGGGATTACACTAAGCCTTGGGACGGCTGCACGGTTTGCGAGAAGGGCTCAACATGCGTGGAGCAGAACGGTATGTGGACACTAACACATCTACATCGCTGTGTTACGAAACTAATTTCTACTAGAATGGTACTTCCAGTGTGTGCCGAATGATGCTCTGGTAGCAGAGTGAGGAAATGGGTCAGCTTTCACACGCGGTTAGATGAAGAGGATAGTAGATGTCTTCGCGTCTATGTCTGCCCAGGCATCTTCAGACTGAGCAATCTCATGTTTACACCAAATGTTAGCCAAGATGTGTCACGCTTGTTCCATACCTTTGCGCCACTTTCTCTTTCCTTTTGCAGAAGTGAATGCGCTCACCATAGACTCGAAGCCATCGTACATTCAAGTTTCTCAACAAGGCGATGACCAAAGCTTACTATGCGCGTCGAAGCATGACAAGGCGCGTGTAGCGGATATGGTGGGGTAGCTCCAACACGTCCCTGGCACGCCCCACCATGCTAAATAACTCCCCATACCAACGTCATACCTACGGACTGAGCTCCGGTAGCTGCCGTGATGGTTGCATACTTCATTTCACGGTTTCCTTAGACTTTACCTTCGTAACGTTGCTTGCGACCTCGTCTTCTACACGCGCTTTCCTGCCGAACTTTCCGATTGACACATTCCCTGCGCGTCGCGTCTTGTCACTAGGATCTTCCTTTTCCAGCAGCCACAACAGCAGGT